ACGGCAAGAAAGTGCTCACCTCCTTCGGGGAAGCCGTCAAGAACCTGGACAACATTAAGGCGACTTATGCCAAGCTGTCCGAGCTGCACTGTGAGAAGCTGCACGTGGACCCCGAGAACTTCAGGGTGAGCCGTGTTTGCAGACCCAGCCCCATCCCTGTGTTGTGTGTGGAAAGTCAGGTTTTGCTTTGAAACTGGGAGTATTGCCTCCAGCAATGCTGTCTATGGGTACGTTCTTTGGCTGGTGGAGGCAGAGAGCCTGTGTTGTACCCAAGAGAGATGATGGCTTGTGCGGGACTGTTTGCAAGAGTGTGGGTGACTTTCACACTAAAAAGTCCCATTTTTAGTACCAGCGCAGCAATGGGGCAGAGAAGGTGCTGGGAGATTGTTACTTGAAGGACATGCTGGGGATGGAGACAAAAGAACAAATCCAGGAGGAGGTGCAGCATGGGCTGCGGAGACAGAGGCAGAGGGAAGCTCTGCAGAGCATTTGAGGAAATCATAGATCCTATAGCAAGGGTAGCAGCTAACCTGCTCAAAAACAACAGAGCAGGTTTCTGTCCTAGCCAGCATGTGCTGCCTGTCTGGATGGGACACTCCCAAATGGATCATTTTCTTCATTTAGATCTAGAGAAAAAGAAAAAAAAACCCCGCATTTGCAGGGTGGGGCTCAGGCCAAATTGCTTTAGCATCCCCAAAATGGGCGGAAATAGTTTCAACGTTCTTTCCTTTTCTTTTTTTTTTTTTTTAAAGAATGAAGCAAATACTGTTTTCCCAAAACCCTGAGCTTTCTGTGGAAAGGCTGAGGATTTTGTCATAGCAGTGCCAAGGAACGGGGAGCGAGCCAGCCCCAGTAGCCATCCTGCAGCCCGAAGGCCACTACGATGGGGAGGGGGGCTGAGGAGGAAGAGGAGGCGTGTGCAGCGTGTGAGAGTCCTTTCAGGAGGGGAGTTCAGACTCGGGGAGAAGCCAGGAGAAAGGAAACGCAGCCTGTGGGTTGCGGGGTGGTGTCTGGGGGGACAGGAAGGAGAGGGGCCGGAGGGAAGTCTGCAGCAGGAACTCCAGGGAGACGGAGAGCCTGCAGAAAGGAAGAAGCTGTTTGGAGCTGAAGAGGTGGCGGAGCAGGAGGAGCAGAGAGCCCTCCGCGAGGGGCCGTGGGTGCAGCAGCTCAGCCCCGGCGCGGGGAACTCCGGTCCCTGCTCCGTGGTCTGCCGCAGCACCAGGGTGCAAGCAGCGCTAACCCTTTCTGTGTTCCTCTTTCTCCTCCAGCTCCTCGGAGACATCCTAATCATTGTCCTGGCTTCCCACTTCGCCAGGGATTTCACCCCTGCTTGCCAGTTTGCCTGGCAAAAGCTGGTCGGTGTCGTGGCTCATGCTCTGGCCCGCAAGTACCACTGAGCATCCCGGGACCGGCCGCGCGAGGAGGATTCCCGGCTCCGCCACAAGCACTGCTGAGCACGAGGAGCTGCCCTTTGGGTAGCGACAGGCTGTAACCACCGAATAAAAGCCTCCCAGCACCACGTCTGTAGAGTCTCCCTGTCTCCGTGGAGGGAAGGCGGGCAGGGGGGTCTGCGCGGTGAACGCAATGCCGTCGGCGGGTGGGGGTATTCTTGGCTCTAAGGGTTGCTGCAGACGGACCCTGCTTAACTCTGGAGCGCGCTCGCGTGTGTGCATGCCCGGGGCTCTGTGAGGAGAGCACCCATGCCCAGGGCCCTGACAGCCGGGGGTGTTTCAGGGAGGGTCGTAGCAATAATGAGGGATTGCAAAGAACCTGGATCTGTTCTCCCAGCTGTAGATTAATGGGAAATAAAGTGAAGCCAGCACTGCCCAGGGCGCAGAGCTCCCAGCCAAGCCGTTCCTGCTCTCCCTTGCAGCTCTGGGGGAGCTGGCAGCTCTGGGGCTGGGAATGCACTATCCCCTTTTGGAGCTGCTGATATGGCTGAGAAAACCTAATGAGGGATTGCAAAGAACCTGGATCTGTTCTCCCAGCTGTAGATTAATGGGAAATAAAGTGAAGCCAGCACTGCCCAGGGCGCAGAGCTCCCAGCCAAGCCGTTCCTGCTCTCCCTTGCAGCTCTGGGGGAGCTGGCAGCTCTGGGGCTGGGAATGCACTATCCCCTTTTGGAGCTGCTGATATGGCTGAGAAAACCTTTGACTGGCCTAGCAGGAGATACTGTTCGCTCAAGGGGGATTTATCATGCTAATGCTCACAGCAGACCCTCATCCCCCGGCACTCACAGTCCCTTGGGACAAGGGTGACAAGTTAAATTTTTGTTAGCTATTCTGTTATACAAAACAGGATAAAAACCTAAAAATGGCCAGGACTGTGTTTATCTTACTCTTAAATCTTGTCTTAAACCAAGACTGGAAATTCCTTGCACAAGGGGTCTGACAGCCAGCGCTGTTTGCGGCATTTGGTGCAGCAGAGTCCTGGCTGTGATAAAACTTTCTGGAGTTACCAGGGAGGACAGAGTTGTTTTGGGTCATAATCTCTCACCTCACTTGGGTTCAGCA